GGGGGGGTGGGCGGGGGGGCATCACCTCCGTTTTATTCTAGGTAAATGTAGCAGGTTACAACAACAGGTTACAGTATTAGATGACTCCTAGGAAAAATGCTTTGAAACAGCAGGTAAATTCTCTCTAATTCCTGAAATAATGTAAGCGTATGCCTGGTTCTACACACTTTCAATTAGTTTTTTGGAGAATGTTCTTTTCTAGTTGAAAATATTAGCAGCAAATCTCTCTTTTTGACCATTAAAATACATTATCACCCCACTCATGCAAAGTGAGGGTTTTGTTCTGTTTTTTTTGTGGGGTTTTTTTGTTTTGTTTTTTTTTTTAGCATCGCAGGAGTAAAGGGGAGAGTAGCCTTCATTATTTTAGAAAAACTGCATTTTGTATTATTCTTTCATCTTTCAGAGTACAGTAAATAAGTACAATTCTCAAAGGATAGCTTTATTTGTATTACTCACAGTTTAGTTACCATCTTTTGACCTTTACTTTCTGAGGTCTAGTAACACACAAGGATCTCACCTATCAAATAAAGCCAGAAGAGTTAATCTATCAAAATTGATGCTAATCCAAAGTTTAGGCAGAATCCAAAAGCGATAGTACTGCTTGACTTTTTGAGCTGCTTCCTCTTGAGGTTGCATGTGGTCCTGAAGGTCAGGGCTCAGGTCAATATCTTGCTGCTCCAGCAGATCTGTATCCATGGTTAGCAGCCTGTTCAACCTGATCTGAGGAAGAGAAAGCTAAAAGAAAGTCAGTATTAAAAAAAGCTCATTTTTATTATATCACCATTTCTACTGAAAACTGCTTTGGAGAAAATTGCTAGAATTATTTAGTTTCACTTTTGAGAAGTTATATACTAAATACTGTCAGTTCTCAGGCTTCTACTTACTTTTCCTGTCCTTATCATGGCAAATGATTAGTACCAACAGCAATAATAGTTTGCATATAACACAACTGTCTGGCATTTTAGCATATGCCTTATTTCGAATGAACTATGAACATGTCTTCCAAGCACATTACCCCATTTACTCTGAAAACTTCAAATTTGAAGACAAGTAAACTGATATCTGAACAGCAATAACGTATACCACAAGAATAATCCAATTCTGAATTTAAATAAATTACAACACATTTCTTAGAGTCAACTAATCTGCATGCACACCCATGCCAAATGGTTGGTTTTGCATGACAAAGCAACATATGCGTGCATCAGTGGTCAAATTCAAACTCACTACATTCGGAATACACTCAGACACAAACTAAAAAAGCTCTGCCCTAACTAGTCAAGTACTATTTATGACTGACTATATTTCTCACTTATTTTGTAGTTTGTCACTCTAGAGTTCTCTTGAAATCACAGTAGTACTAACATCCATAAAGGACATTTAAGGAGAGTGATCAGAAGGTTAAAAAGTTACTATAGTATGTATGTGCTATCTAAGCCACTTTATAAGTCTCATTAACAGGTCAAAAAACAGCTTTATGTACTGCCCTTTCTTCTTAAACAATATCATCATTAAAATGTCATTTAATGAAAAAATCTTCACAATCTTCTAAAGCAAAGAGTAAAATTTAAATACTTATGTTACCTTTAAGTGTCAAAGGTATGGTTTGGGTTTTTCGTGTTTGTTTTGGTTTTGGTTTTCTGGGTTTTTTTGGGGTTTTTTTGTTTTGGTTTGGGTTTTTTAAGTTTAACATTTGACTTGTGGTTTTTGAAAATTTTTTTCCATGACTCCTTAAAGCATCACTGTACTGTAACTATGCTCAGCTAGCTTTTCCTTCCTAGAAAAATACTAATAAAACCAAGCATGAACACTCCCTTTCTAAAGGCAATTCAAAAATACAAAACATACTAAGAGAAGCTGTGTCAGAAAACAGGAGCTTTTTTGACAACCTTTTAAAAACTTGGGTTTCTTAAAAGGTAGAATCACCATAACATAGCATTTGTTGCACTAATAACAAATTTAAGGGGAAATTTCCATTTAGGCACATGGGCTAAGCTTTTACAAACACAGGTTTGCCTTAGAATCATTCCCTCCAATGGGACCACACTTGCTGTTGGCAAACCAACAGCACAGAACAGGTAATGCAGCTTTTTTTTTTTTGAATATTATTGATACTTTTGAATTTTTGAGGGGGGCGGTGGAAGGCAAAGAATGTTCCTCTAGCAGACACCAGGTTTGAAGAGCACATTCTTGATCAAAAACATCAGACAAATGAAGTTCTTTTGCTCCTCTGCCAAATGCTGAATCCGTATTTCATTTTCCCTCTCGATCAGGTCATTAGGTACTTCAATATACTTTGCTTTGGTTTCCTAGCTTAAGTATCACAACCTCAACAATCACGACTATTTGCACTGTTTTCATGACACAGCAGTATAGGACTTCAGAATTAACAGCACAGATATGTCTGGACTTGACCACAATATAAAAGGTTTGAGATCACAAAGCTATTTGCAGTATGGAACAGTATAAGCCTCTGCCTTTTTTCCTAGCCACTCCTTGCGTATGAATTAAAATTTTGTACAGGAGATTCCAAAAACAGATTTTTAAACTCCTTTTAGGGAAATTACTGAAGTTCTCTTGGTCAGAACATGAAATTTATTCTTTCTGCTGCCTGCTATTCTTAGTAATGCACAGCAGGAAAACTCTGTCCAAGTTGTCCAGTCATCTCTGGAAACCTTCACAAGGTATCTCAGAACACCCAATTTCCATGTGATTTAGAAAATCACTATGCTTTAGATCAGAGAAAACCCTTTATATTTAAATTTTGAAGTGCTCTGCAGAAAGATGAATTTGTACGTAGCTACAAAGATGCTGCAACAATAAGTACTTTATCTTCATTTAAACCCAGGCAAAAATCCTTCTTAAGAACAAAGAACTACCACATAGGATGATTAATCAGTGCTATAAAACTGGAAAGTCTTCTGATTTTTTTTTGCATGCTTTAAAAATAAATAAGAAAAACTTACTAGATCATGTGGATAAAAGCGAACTGAGGTAGAACTCGATACGTGAGAGTCCGTGTCACTATAAGAACAGGGGAAAGACTTCAGATTATAAAACTACATTTTATTTCAACAGGCCACTCTAATTTTCTAGTGTCCCAAATTAACTTTGACTCCTTGCAAATTTTAGCTAAAAATCTTTAAGTTTTTCCTTCAATCACATATTTAAATACATGTATCCACTTAGTCTTGTGTATTATGGTAAATTCTGTAGCTATAGTAAATCAGGAGACTCTTTACCCTTACCCTTGATATAATTTTCTTAACACCTAGTCCCTAAATTGTCTAACAGGGATTATCATGATAGTAATTATTCCACTTGAAAAAACAAAAATGTTTTATAATCTCTTAACTACAGATGTGTAAACACACATCACATCTCTAAACAAGTGCAAACTCTGCTATGTGTTCATATATAGAGTTTTTGTTAATTCTATACCATTTTTACAAAGGGCCCAAAACTGTCAAAAATAGTACATACTTAACATGAGTATACCAAGTTACTTAATCTTAAATTGCTTTTGAAAAACTTAACTTTAAATAAACTTAAACCTCTGGTAAGAAGAGCAAAATTACTTTGGAGTTTCCATTCATTGGAGATGAGGAGAAATTTATCTTACTGTATGAGAGTCCATATCCAATCACTGCTTTTTTCCCCAATTTTGCATAGTTTTGGGATGTTTGTTTTCCATGTAAATCACATGGCTGTAAGACTTGTATCAAATTTATGCAACTTTCCTTCAGTTCCTTGCCTTAAGATAAAAACATTCCTGTTATCAATTTTACTTCAGCGAAACTCAAGTATTCCCTAAAGCTGAGATAGGATTATTCAGATGTGGCCAGTTTGTTCTTTCCATTAGCACACATAACTTAATAACAGCAGCCATCAGCAAAGCCATTGCATTTGGAACATGCAAGCAGTAGAGGCAGGCATTGGCAGCTTTGTGCAAGGAACACAGAACTTTTTGTCAAAGTTCAACTCTACAAAAGGCACTTGCACTCTTTCACAAGAAGGTTTTAAGATGGGAGCTTTTATATTCATTACTCCATAATTCCAACAGCTATTCCACCTACACGTTGTAGCACTCAGCATGATGCAACAGCTTCAGAGCAGTTCTATGTAGTCAAGTGGACTGGGGACTGGGACGGGGGGACGGGGACACAGGAGGTTTTGGGTTGTTTTTCTTTCTTCAACCTGCTGTCCCTTCAGAGAAAGAAAGAGCACCTTTCCAACAGCAGATGAACTTTCCAGTATGTAGCTGCCTATTTCAACTGTCAGTCAAATTTTAAACCTCAGGCATGTTAACACTTCCATGTATTGTTTCATGCCATCTATGAACTTGAGAAGAAATTTATCAGTTTACATTTGCTTCACAATTGGAAGTTCATTTGTAAATAAGTTAATAGCCATTACGGTCAACAGGCACCTACTTCCCCAAAAACTGGGTTAAATCCTTTAAGAAAGACTTTCTATAAGTCAATCAAAAACACATTTGTCAAGCTCTCAGTTTGGACATTTATAGCTTAAGCTAAGAGCAGTCTTCATTTTCTGAGATTTATTTAAGTGGAGAAGATTATTTATGCAGTTAGTGTCATCTTCTAGTAAAAATCATTTCGGTTTAAAAAGTAAAAGTATATGGATAATATTTTATATGATTTTTTTGTATCCATACTAAAAAACCTTTTAAAATTAAAATCAAAGATTTGGTTGCAGTAAGACAAGAATCATCACTCTTGACTGGCCTTCACACACACCAGATATTGGATGCTCTCCTTGCAGCTGGCTCAAAGTTCACAAGTGACATGTCGCAGCCCCCTGTCTCGTAGAGCGTAGAACTGAACTTACCTATGAAAGAAAAGGTTGAAAGCAGGTCAAAATTTCATAATGTTTCATCCCACTGGCACTAGTTTCTATTTATTAACTTACTACTGAGATCAATTTAGACATCTAAATTTACATGGATGTCAAAATATAAAAGGCAGTTACATGTTAATGTGTCACCAGTACAGACATTAGCTACTCAGTCCTCTTTCATACCATTTTACAGTGACATATATACAGTGAACTGCAATACTGAATTAAAATATAAGAGTTCGTATTTACAAGATGTCACCATTAACACAACAAAAGCACAACATAAGCCTTTCCCCCACCCATCCCTCAGAGAATAACCAAGCAAACAACTTGCAATGACTAGCTGCTTCAGTTCTTCCCCAATCCCCCATCCCCAGCAGACCAATCAGTAAATCATTCACTGTCAGCATTTAAGAATCATGGCATTTAGCTAAGGCAGAGATTCCTCAAGTGTACCGAATAAAATTCTTTTGAGGCACATGCCTATTTGAAAAGAAACACAAAGAGTGAAAGAAGTGGCCAGAGATGCTTCATAAATTATACCTCCAGAAAGACTAAAAAAGGAATGACAGGCAGAGATTTATTCTACAGGCCAGAAGCAAACACTTCAGTGTAAGAAAAAGAAGACTGCAAACTAACTTCTCAGATAAACCATTTGGAGTTACTGGAACTACATTAACCATCATCTCCCAAAGTTTTTAATAACAACTTTTTGAATGACCAATATCAAGCTAGTCCTAAATATATAATTAACAAAAAAGTAGCCAGAGATTCTAACTCAAATGATAAATTACCTTACAATACGATGTTTTTACAATGCCCTTCTCCTACAATAGTCTGATCAGAGAGATAAGCATTGCAATTTCCCCTCAAGGCCAGGTTCACTGTATTACAGCTCTGAATGCAGGAAGCTGATTTTGAAATTCTGATCTCATATGAAATGTTCTGCCAACTTCTCCATCTCTTCTAGCTCAAAACCCTTCTTAAGCCATGATGCAAGGCATGCAATATTTTAAGATCTGCTTATACAAAAACAAAACAAAAAAACAACACACATCCCACTTTGGAGCATCTGAAGGAAAAACTGTATACACCTCTCAGCTGCATGCCTTGCAGCTCTTTCTTCTTCTGTTGATACAGGATAACAAGCAGTCCCAGGAGAAATACCTAACAACATTAGAGCTTCTAATCTTTTCCCTTTCTGTGAGAACAAAACCTACTTCTGATACAGTGTTTTTAAATTATTTAATGTTTTTTAAATACCCTGTGATCCTGCTTCTTTCTCTTCAGATTCACAGACAATTATATTCCATTTAGAAGCGTTTGAAAGCAAGAAGGCTAAAAAACTCAAACTGGATGATTAAAACTAGTGAAACTGAGGAAAAATACTAATATATTGAAAATACCTTCATACAGCTTTCTACCCTCAGAGAGGGCACTTCAGACCAAGTAGACACATACCGCAGCCGTGCTAAGACCAACCATTCTGTCAAGACAGACAGCTACACAAGTTCAGGAGTCATGTACAGCAAGCATCAGAGCTCAGTAAGGCAACAGCACTCTCAATATTTAATTGCATCTGCTATAGGCGTTTGTAATGATAAACAAGTAGAAAGTTCACTTACTAGGGTTTTTTCCTAATAGTTAAGATTTTAACAAAGGGCTTTAATTAAATATCCTTTGGCGTTTAATGCATAGTGTACTCAACAGCTGTTACTGAAGTTTAAATTTTAAACTAGTGCAAGATATTAGGAATCTTCCTCCCCACAACTAATAAATAACCTTAATTACACAGGTCTATTTCTTAACCACATCAGTAAAAAAAAAAACTTCCTGAGAGTATTAGATAATGGCAAACCTGAGAGTATTAGGTAATACACTTCAGGTTCTAGTCAGGACAAAATTATGCATAACTTATTATGGAAAAATCTTCCAGTCAACCAGTCGTTAAAAGAGACAAGGAAGTTTGGGTTAAATTCTTCGTGGCTTTGCACTAATGAATTGAGAGCCTGGAAACTAAACTTTCTGATTTTTACGTTAATGAAATTCTAGTCACAGAAATTAGAATATACTACTTGGAAGATATAACGTCCTGTTCTCTTGGGCTGAGATAATACATCAGATATATTTGTTTCAAAAGAAGTTTGCTGAACTGTTACACTCATGAAATGTCTGAATAGGGTCTCAAATTATGAAAAAAAAACAAACCTAGCATAAAACACTCCACATTAGAAAATATCTACAGTTCCCCCACATCCAACTCATCTTTGAACCTGTCCAAATTTACCACATCTGTATTGCTGCTATAAGTACTGCATGGCTTAATGCCTTGTACTTAATGCCTTTTTTTTTTTTTAAACACAAACTACAAAACAGACTCAGCTTTAGCTGTACTTGCAATCCACCCCCCTCCTTATATAGACTTCCTATTGAAAGTTAGTGCTCTGTCAAGAAAAGCATGGCTTCTCAATAAAACAAAGTTACCTGCCCCCTTTTTTGTTTTTCTTTCAGTTTTTGTTCTGTTCAGTTTTGTTTGCTTGTTTTAAATCAAAAGGCTCTGCAGAAAAGCCTCAACTGATCCAAAGTAGAAAAGATGACAGGACCATTCAGTGCTGTTGAGGACACAAACTCTAAGGTATGACTGGAGATTCTATGTCTGAGCTCCAAAGTCCCATCAATTAAATACTTTTTAAACTGTGTGAGACTAACAGCAGCTTCCTCACAGCACGCTCAAACTCAAATGATGGATCCCAATGTTCATATGATTCAATACATACGGATATACCCAGCATTTTTAGTTACCCTAGTAATTTTCTCTCCCTCGCATTCCTAGCTTTCCCACAGCATTCTCTGAAATATTTTTAATAGCATCGCACTAAAGAAGCTTAAGAAAGTTTTTTCTTTCTCTAAGGATTGTAGTTTTATCAAGTGGTGAACAAATGGCAGTTTCAAAAGTTTATTTTACAAACCAAGAAATAGAGCCAATAGAGTGTTTGTTCACTAAACAGAAATGCTTGTAACTTCTCCCCCCTCAAGGGAGGGCTGTGAGTTGTTAGCAAATTTAAGTCACCCAAACAATATTCTATTTGGACCAGGTTACAAAAATAACAAAACCAAGTCTTTGATACTCAGGCACACAAATCCAAATTACGTCTTAATTCTGACAGGAACAGAGGAAGAGATTAATGCACTTCCTTTGAAAGAAGTTTCCTTGTTTCAAAAGACAACAACAACAATCTCATCACCAAGTCCAGAGAAAACCACACTGCATAAACTGGTGTTCCCACAGTTACGGGAATCAATGAATGCAACAGGCTGATGAGCTTACACAGATGAAACCTGGAAGACTTAAGTGGCTCAGGATCCAACCGAAATGATGCTCTGATGGTTTCTTCAGCTAAGATATTTTCAGCACATCTTCTAGTTTTCCATCTAATAAATATTACTTTTTTTCAAACCTCTCATACACTAGTTCTCAATGTTGCTAACACTTTTTGACATGTTGAAGCCTACATCATCATTAGATCAAGATATATTCATACGTTACTTCTGACAATATATTTTTTAAATCCTCATCAGCAAAACCAAAGCCATCAGAATTTGAATATTCTGTAGCACGCAAGGAGCTATTATTTCCAAAGGTCAAAATTTTACCTTCAGCTGCAGTATGAAGACTTACAAGTTTTCAGTTAGAACACTTCAAAGCAGTTCATTTTTTATTTCTATGTCATGTTTGTCAAAAGAGTAACTTACCTATTATGCACAATTCCACAGACTACAACAGGGATATTTTCAATAGGAACAACGGAAAGTGAGTATTTATTTTCTACCTCTACCTTTGAAAGTGCTCCCCCACCCATCCCAAATAAGTTACATATACCTGATTATAAAAAGGTACTGAGGAACTGATTCTAAATGGGTTTTAATCAAATAAGTAATCAGTGTATGCAGTTATCTTTAGAGAAAAGTTTTGATCTTCAAGACCATCCAGCTGCCTTCATAAACTAAAATACTTCAATAAATCTGAAATATTACCGCTTGCATATAGAGGATACAACCAAAGTTCAACATAGCAGTGTAACTGTATTGTAAAGCTCCAGATGACCAGTTCTCTTTACTCAGAAAAGTAATATTCCGCCCCCCCCC